CGAGCCACAGAGGGCCGAACTATACTTAGCTCGGTCTGCTCCTCCAATTGATTACTTCGGCTGCCCTGTTTGACCTTGATGTGCTTAGTTCAAACTTCCAAGTAGCAAGTTCTGACCGTCCCAACCGCTGTATGTCGCGACCGGACTAATTCTGAAACCGTTCTTCCCAGAACATACTGCGGCCGGACTAACTCCGAGACCGGCCTAACTCCGAGTTGTCTCCGGACCGGAGTGGCAGGGGGGGCGTCATAGTAATTGAATCCCTTAGTCGGTTTCCTACTGGTAGGCCTCTTTTATATTGTGCAATGGCTAGATTGGTGGGGCAGTCTCCAATCTGGTTGGATGTCTCCCAGTAGCGACTGTTGTAAGATCTGAGGGTTTCTTTCTCACCCATGTCGATGGAGAGTAGCTGGTCTATCTCCACCGGTGTTTTAGTATTTGTCCGAAACCTTGTTACGAATGCTTCTGCCAATTGGGCCCAGGAGGCTATGCTACCTTCTGGGAGCTTTTCGAACCAAGTCAAGCCCAGGTCGCCCAGACTTGATGGGAAAAGTATGCACATTAAGGCCTCGTTTCGCCTGTACACGGCCATGACTTGGCGAAAGTGGCTCAAGTGTGAATACGGGTCCGTCTTCCCTTCATATGTGGTGAATTTCGGCTGAAGGAAGCCTGATGGTAGGGGCGCGTTTTCGATTGCTGGGGCAAACTGCGAAGTCTGTAGTCTTGCCAATGCCTTGTCCGTTGGTTCGTAGGCCGGTCGCGGTATTGGCATTCCAACCTCGACGCTTCCATGCGTCCGAGGAGCCAACCGTTGTAAGGCCGAAACTCGGTGTGGATCCCTTGCACTTGCATCCTCCTTGCATCGTGCTTTTTCTTCGAGCACGGTTCGTAAGTCGGATGACCTGGGCAGCTCTGTTTGTCTAGATCTGGTTTGGTGTGAATGTGAAGGCCAATACGTGCTTCCTTCAGTGTATGATCTTTTGGATCTCGTCCTCTCAGACTTGGAGTGACGAGTCCTGGAAGATAAGGAATGAGTGTCGCCTGTCCTGAGGCTTCTGCTCCCTCCTTGGGAGGGTGTAGTATTCCTACTACGATTCTTTGAGTGGCGAGGGGGCGTCTTGTGCTTGCGCTCCTCTCCTGTCGCCACATCTTTAGTCTTCATCTGGCGTTTCAAAGCCTCCATGTCCGCTGCCATCTTTCGAATTAGTTCATCTTGTTCCTTCACGCGATCTTCCAGGGCTTGAGGATCAATCCTCCTCCTTTGCCTGTCAGGACTTTGAGAGTGACGAGGGCTGCTATTCCGCCTTCCCCTGCCACTCCTCCTGGAATTATGTTGTTGGGGCTCCAGATCTGCCATAGGAGGGACAGAGGGTAATCCTTCTCGCCTTGCGACCCCGTCTGGAGTTAGCCCGTCGACGGCGGACTGTGGTAGTTCTTCAATGTGTGCCATTGATTGAGAAAAGGAGGAGCTTAGTCAAGAGGTTTTCGTTCTTGTCTGTTTCTTCCCACAGACGGCGCCAATTGTAAGGGGAGGAAATAATTCTCCTCGTATAATCCTGTTGACCAAGTCCACGCTCCTCCGTACGACGTAGCTTTATCACCTGAAAACACAAACGTGAGCTAACCGGCGGGTGTGTGTCGGAAACCTCTCCGATGCCTAAGTCAGTAAGCTTGACAAGTAGACAAAGTTTTATGTTCTCAGAAAAAATTGTGTTCAATTACCTCCTCCAAGGTGATGTTTGTGAGCTTTTATAAGTTTCCCGTGGCACAATCCTAGTAGGACTTGTATTTCTCCATGCAGAGTCCTCCTAGGATTCATACTCCTAAGGATAATGCTTATCCTTTTACACCCTCCCCCACTGCTTAAACCAAGTGGGATGGTTTTTTCCATGGCCGAATCACCATTTGACCGAAGTAACACTGGCTATGCTGAGCCACAGAGAAGACCGAACTATCCTTAGCTCGGTTTTCTCCTCCAACTCCTTATCTCGGCTTTCCCCCGTTCAACCATGATGCGTTTAGACCAAGCTTCTGAGTAGCAAGCTCTGGCCGATCTAACCACAATACACCACGACCGGATTAACTCCGAGACCGGACTAACTCTAGTTATGAACTAACCATGAGGCCGGACTAACATCAAGTTACCTCCCGACCGAAGTAGCTTTATACCATCTAGGGCCGAAGCAATTACACCTCTCCTAAACCGGAGTAACCATACCTCTCCTGGGCCGGAGTAACTATGCTTCTTCTGGGCCGGAATATCATTACGGCCTTTTATTGAGTCCTTCACACTTTGGGTCATAAAGTCCAACTTACAGCTCGGTCCAATTCTCTCCAAAAATTACCCTCTCACATAGCAAGACTAATTCCTCCTTCCCAAATTCACAGTCCTTTGGGATAATTGCGCGGTAGGAAAAGCACCCCTTTAAATGAGAAGGGAGATGAAGGTAACTCAATTTCAATGCTGGGAGAATGCCACTTTCCTCATTCCATATATTTCTGTTTAGTATCTCTTTCCATTCATGTTCTTCCTGTTTACAACGTAGTAAGCTGCCAAGGGCCTTGGCTGCCAATGGCAAGCCTCAGCATCTATTCACAACAATTTTCTTACCAATTGATTCCAATTCTGGGTATTCTATGATATCTCTATTCTCAAATGCATGTTGGTAAAAGATTAAACAACAACTATCATTTGATAATTTCTGCAACTTGTAAAATTCAATTGATGTTTGTAATGCAACATTTGTGTTTCGTGTTGTCACAATAATTTTACTTCCAGGTGCTCCAGCTCCAAATGGCGATCGTAGCTATTAGGTTTGTGTGATTAAAGTGGTGGAGCTGAGTGTTTGGAGTTGGTGTTGGATTATTGTTTTTTAAGCGTTTGAGGTAAGTAACCCTCTGTCACTATTGGTTCATTTTTATTCCTATTGAATCGTTTAAAATTATATATATTTATTTATAACCTTCATGTTCTCTTAAAATAAAATATGGGTCAAGTATAAAACAACATCGAATATTATTATGAAAATTATTTGAATATTTTTTGAAATTATTCTGAAAATTGTACCAAATGTTTATTTTGAAAATATCGAATATTTTATTTAAAGTTGTGTATTGTTTGAATTTTGAACATCACTCTAGTCTAACTATGATTTGGACCCTAGCCAATGAGGGTTATTTATTGGCACAGAAACTAGTTTCTTTTGCGGCTTTACCACCGGCCTATGTGTGGTTTTGGGCCTTGTCACAGGCTAAGTAACCGTAGTCACCAAGACTTGGGTTTTGTGAATCAAATCATTGAACCATTTGAGTATCAAACCATCGATTTGAATAACGAATTTACTTTGAATTATCTTGTTGGCTTTTCAATTAAAATGTATTGTATATTGTTTATTTTTAGCTATGAAACCCTCTTACAAATAATTGTTCATTTATTGAATTGTAGCAAAAATTATATTTATTGGTTATCGACTATTTATTTTTTTTGTATACTTGATCCAGCTAGCAGTGATGGTTAGTTATTTACTAGGATGTCTAGCTTACCCTTATTTTATTTTATTTTTTCAGATTCTAAGGAGTAGAGCTGCGCGGGTTTTTACTTGTGGGAGTGCCAAGAGTAGGACTATGATTTAAGTACTTCGATTATTATTTTGTTAGTGGATTATATTAGTAGACTTGGTGGACAATTTCATATGATAAGAATTATCTATTTTTATGGATTTTAGCATTATGATAAATAAGGATTTAATTTGAGTATTTTACATTGTTGGTTATGTGTTGGATTCTTAGCCTTGCATGCTCACTTAAATGAGTGTGTGGCGTTGTCACGGAGCT